CAAGCATGTCGGTTCCATGTTTTATGCCAAACCGCAGCATCAAATGACATGTTTGCCTGCTTCCTCATAGAAGATATCCTCGGACTGTTCTCTACCTCTGAACAACTGTCTGTTACTTCTGTCTGTATCATAGCAAGAGCGTATTAAGTATGTAATTGTTTGTAATTGTTTGTAATAGTTTGTAATTGTAATTGTATGTAAGTGTGTATTGTTAATTATATACTTAATACGCTTTTGATTATAGTGTTGCGAATCGGCGAGCAAGCAGGGACACTGTCTGTACTTACGATCATGGCGATTGGACACACGAACTGCCAGCAGAATTTCCACCATCTTATTGGATAGAAGCCGATCATGTCGTTAATGCCATCATACACCCTTTCGGCTCCTGTAGCAGAGAGAGAGTCCGCGAGTGAGGGACGGTGAGTTCCTACTGACCACCACCTTCACATGTTACTGTCATGACTGAGTTAATCCACTCTGAGCAATATTTAGTTATTATTGGTAAATTTTACTCTCCCATCTTTCTCGCTCCCCTCTCTTTTTCTCTCTCTCTCTTTTTGCCCCCGCCCCATCTCTCGCCATCTCTCATTCACTCTCACACACTCTCTCACATCTCTCTTCTCCCCACCCATCCCCTCCCTCATCCGTCTCTCTCTCTCTCCTCTACATCCCCATCCCTCCTCTGTCTCTCCTCCACCTTCCCCTCTCCCCATCCCTTCTTCCCATCTCCCTCTCCCTTCTTCCTCTCTCCCCCTCCCCTCTCCCCCATTCCCCTTCCTTCTTCCCCTCTTGCCATCCCTTCTTCCCCCATACCCCTCCCTTCTTTCCCTCTCCCCATCCCTTCTTTCTCTCTCCCCCTCTCTTCTTCCCCTCTCCTCTTCCCCCTCTCCCCCTCTCCCTCTCCCCTCTCCCCCTCAGGGCCTCTCTCACCGTATATCCACGCGATGGCAATCGTCTCGCAGAACACGATGAAGATGAGTGAGATGCCGGAGGCGGAGAACGCGTCGAACAGCTGGAAGAGGTACATGCCTCCGTCCGTGAGCATTGGCGTTGCGACCAGCATGTAGAACACGCACGTGCAGAACACGAACAGCTTACGACGCGGAAGCAGCTGGTTGGGAAACATGTCCATGATGGCCGTTATGACGCCTGCGTAGATATAAAAACACCAGGGGTAAACAATAAAAACACAATAAATACATAATAATTAATTAATTATTTGGATCCGGATCACCACCAAAATGTAATCAATTCTAAGTTACCCCATTTTTGACCTATCGTAAAAAATTAATTAATTAGATCCGAATCACCACCAAAATGTAATTAATTCTAAGTTACCCCATTTCTGACCTATCCTGAAAATTTAATTAATTAATTAATTAATTAATTGGATTCGGATCACCACCAAAATCTCATAAATTCTAAGTTAGGCGATTTCTGACCTATCCTGAAAATTTTGTGACAATCCGTCCATAACTTTTTTAGTTAGGCTGTACACAAACCCACAAACCAACAAAAACACTCACGGGTGAAAACACAACCTCCTGCCAACCCCTTGGCGGAGGTAACAATGCAAGCAGGTTTATCTCCAATGTTAAGGAAGCATTGTTTAGAGACGATTGTTAATTACGAGATGCACGTTTTGTGAGTAGTTATTATCTGGATGATAGCTTGTTATTTCACATAGATGCAGAGAAGACGAATTACAATTCTCAGTTAGAAGTTTCACGCGAGCTGGTTTCTAAAGTTATGTCACTTTTTCACGACCATGTTTACTCCGGACATTTAGGCTTTTCTAAAACGTTGAGTAGAATACAACAACGATATCATTGGCCGAAAATGTGCAACACGTGCACATTATCGTACGAACACGGCCAGTGGCGTAGACAGGTCCTCAGTTGTGGGGGGGGGGATGATTTCGCTGTTACTTCCATCGCAATATATATGAAGAGTAGATACGAGTATATACGAGCGCTTTGGCGCAAAGCCTTTAATGGGTGGGGTCCAGGGGCCTTGGCCAAAGCTCTTGGATTTTAGCAATTTAGAACCTCCAAGATGGCCGTTTTTAAGGGAATTGAAAAACATTGATTTTGTAAGTGCAATTTTGTGAATTCTATGGTAATTTTTTCTTTGGATCCTAGAGGTTTAATAACACCACCCCCCACACACACAGCTAGTGGCGGATCCAAAAGTGAATTCTAGGGGGGGGGCGAATCATGCTAGTTTAAGGGCACGAAGCGCCCTGGGGGTGTCCCCCTCCCACTGTGTGAGATTGTTAAAAAGTTGCAATCTAAAAGCAATCAATTTTGGATATCTTTATTATAGAATATCAGAATTTTTCTTGCTTCATGGGGTCTTCCCTCCTGCTTAGGGGGGGGGTCCGGCGGACCTCCCACGGAAATTTTGTTGAAAGTAACACCTCTTCGATGCAATTTCCTGCACTATGAGGCAGCACTATTAAACAATCTTCATCACAATAACAT